TTCCAAAAACTTTTCAATCTTGAGTTGGCTTGCTTGCTCTCTTTTCTTCAAATGATGTGCCCAGCCAACTCCAGTGACAACCGTTGCAAGAATAAAAGACCCTAAGACTACACCTGCAAAATAAAATAGCATATTCCCAGTTAGAATAATGCTTCATCATCGATCTGTCTTCACTAATTGAAGGGTAAAAGCAAAATCAATTTACCTGCAATTATTCGCCTCTTTCGTGCACCTGCGAAACAATCGAAATTAATCAGCTTGATACGTGATGTAATTATGTTCTTACGAGTTTCAAATATTCGAAAGGTATGCAAGCATAAACTTGGAAAAACAATACTGATAAGCTGAAGATACCATCACAAAAACATAAGTGCTGGAAACAGAGCAGAACAAAATTAGTTAGCTCAAAACTAGATGAAGATTTTTACAAAAAATCTGCATATGGAATTCCTACTCAGTGAAAACCAATATTATTACCCATTTGCACCGTCTTCTGTTTTTGTCTTTTCTCTTATTTTAGCAGCTTTCCTCCCAAGTGAAAGAAAATTCAAATTTGGGCTCATTAGAAATATTAAGCTTCATTTAGATGTATACATCAGACTAAACCCAAAAACATTCTTCAGGGTGAATGCAGTCTAACCAAAAAATTTTGAATAAAATAAAGGATCGGTGCAATAGTGAAAACATACCTATATGATGTCTGGGGATATCAAAACACTCAGTTTGATCCTGTCTGCTATTGCTCTTCAGTTTACATCCCCTGCCTTGGGCTTCACAGTTTCTGCAGTTTGGTTTGTCCCAAAGTAATTGGAAAGGACCAGTAAGATATGGATAAATTGCTGCTGAGATGTTGCCAGTCTTGCTGCAATTTAACAGGTTCTCGTCATATGCCTGCTCATCAGAACTGACAGCTATAATTTGGGAGCCAGTGTTGCTTAAGCAAGGGATTCTATAGCGTCGGTACAAAAACTCATCTTTGCTTGAACAATTGAACAAGGTGTAGAAGTCAACTGGTGTGGGCCGAAAAGCTTGGAGGTGGCTGTAGCTTAGCCATTCGTACCGGAATGGAAATGCAGATATATTGAGATCTGAGAGCTGCTTCCAGAGGCAATGACCAGGATCATACAAGCGAATCTGCTGTTCTTTATAGTCTATGTGCTTCACCAACAACTTCATTGAACGTGGGAAATTCAGCACGGTCTGGTTGTTTTCTGAGCAAGAGAGTTGGAACCCAGGATGAGGAGAGCCACAGTGGGGTGGCTGGCGGTCTTGCAATCGGAAGGGAAACTTGACGGGTGGTTCATGGTGTTTGCAATTAGTCACCTTGCATTCGTCTTGGATTGGTACAGCTTCTGCGATGCTCACTACCAAGACGAAGCAGAGTAAGTAATTTACCATCATTATTACAAAGTTGTCACTGAATCGGATCCTATATCGTCCCATTTAATAACGATGTTGGTTCTCTCTTCAGTGTTCAGAACATGCACGGCAAGTCCCATTTAATTTGTTTTTTTTTTTCCTCCAATTGTGCTCTCCTATTTTACAAGTAACAAAAAAAAAACTAACTGTGAAATACAAAGTTTTCTATGTAATTTTTCTATCTTAAATAAATTTCAGTGCTAAAACCTTACACAGTAAACGTCCAAAAAATCCAAAAAAAAAGTATATCTTCCTTCGATTTAGTGGTCAAATCCATCCCAATAATTCTTTGAACTTTTTGATATTTTGTGTAATGATTCCCAAATATTGTTGTGATCCTAGGGGGGTACCCATATCGTGGATCGATCTCCCCTTGACTGACTTTAATTTTCCTTTTCTGATAAAAACTCTCATTTTGAGTCATTTTGTCTTTTCTTCTTTGTTTTTTCCACAGGTCGGGTCGCTTTTATATGTAGTGGGGGCAGGAACATCTATTAAGTGATTGCAATAATCGATCTCTTATGGTGGGATCGATTCAGAAATTTAGGACGAAACTGCATATGGCAGTTTTGCAATTGCTGTCTGAGCTGCACTCACAGGATGACTAGTAAAAGATTCGATTTAATTTCATGTAGTAATGCAAAAAGCATCAACCTTTGATATTTGGAGATAATTCTAGTCTACTGCAACTTCCAGCCGCATTCCTTTTTCTCTTTCTAATATCAAAATCTTGTCTAGGTTTTCTGCTTTTCCAATTGTGCCAATATAAGCACAGTAAGAACAGTCGTTGAAGATTCCGAAAGTAAAATTTTCCAGTGACCCTTTTTCTGCAGGCGGCGGATCCATCGAGTCTTGTCAACTTTTCCACGAAGCTTCAAGGACTCGCATAGCAAATTTCTTCCAAGGCAACTGAGATCCAGTCAGTTACAAGGTCAATGGCAGCATGCATAAATTTTGGGCTGGGCTGACATGAGTTAGTTAAATTGAGCAGATCATATATTGTCCAAGCCCAATCTGGTTTTTGATTAGTTGCAAATCTACTGATAGACATAATCGTTCTCAAGTTGACTTGCAAATTTTAACTCTCAACTCTTGCTCCCAAGCATGAGATGAGTGTCGTTACTAGCATTACTTTTCAAACTCAATCACTGGTCACTGTTAAACCTTGCATTGCACTGCCCTTCGATCAGTTTTCCGTTGGGTACCTTTACTGCGACAACAAGAAAACGACGGACGATTTCAAAGACAAATTAAGTGAAAGACGTTATGACTCCATATATAAAGAAAACTTCCATAGCAGTTGTCTTGTAGCAATAAACATGATGGGTTAGCTCGAAGCAAATGGTCAAAAATTTATTAATGCAGTTGCAACCATTGATATTCTATCCACCCATGTGAAATTGGTAAAATTAAGGTTCTTGTGCTTTAGGATCAAATAAAGATGGCTTTCTTTCTTCCAAAGAAAATAAACATGACTTCATGCTTAATGATTCTTTGGGAAAAATACATTTTTTCCCCCAAGGAGAACGTATGACTGTAAGTTAGAAAACATTATGTGCGATTGCTGTGTGAGTGGCTTGTGGCCTTGAATATCCACACCGTGGTTGTGATGTGTAAAAAACATTTTGATATCAAACGTCAAAATATTCTTCTTGAAGAGAATTTCACCTTAAAAGTCTTTGATTTTGGGCTAGCAACATCATACCAAATAGATGATAGTATTGTGCCATTGACTGCATTCTAGGGGAAAAAGAGGATATATGGCTCCTGATTTGTTCTACAAAAACATCAAAGGCGTCTCCCATAAATCTGATAACTACAGTTTTGGGATGTTGTTGATGGGAATGGCTGGCAGAAGGAAGAACTTGGATGCATTTGTGGAGCATTGGAGTCAAGTTTACTGTCCTTCTTGAGTATATGCTCTGGATTACAGCTTTCTGTAATTTGATTAACTTTCGGTAATACAATTTAGACTTTTTCTCCACATTGCATAAATTCAGTAGGAAAAAACCTACCAAGTACGTCTTTCCTTTTTAGTGAAAAGAAGTTTTGTCTTTTCCTTATGCTGCGAATTATATGACGGTGATAATGTATCACTGTGTAGTGTTGCGGGTACCATCAAGCTTCAAATTCAAACATGTTTCGCACGGCATCTGATGTGAAAATCTGACCAAATTAATTATCCCAAAAAAGCAAAGATAGAAGAAAGCCTGCGTTTTGCTGCATTTGTAAAAATTAGGCTTGATTTGGCGCTTCCAGTCCATTGCAATCCACAGAATCCAATTTCTGCGTTAACTGGAGATACGCGGGTTTGAAAAACAATTATGGAGAAGCAATGGCTTGCTTTTGCTTGACTAGCTTTGGAAATTTGAGTGCAGAAACTTCAAACATAGTGGGGGTAGGTAACGCCATCGCATTCATCATCACCAATAATTCATCAAAATATCAAGTCAAGAGGCCAGATTCCTCTCCAAGAAGTTATTTAACATAACTTTTTTTAATTTTGTTTCTTCCTTTCGATTTTGATAGGATATTTTGTTTTTCTTTTTTGAACAAAAAATAAATACTACTGCAAGGATGGGGTTTTTAGTATATGCATTATAATAATAATAATAATAATAATAATAATAATATGTTTAAAAATATAAATTTAGAAAAAAAATTAATTGAAAAAATAGATACTGGCTCATTATATTTTTATTATAAATATTAATAAGATTTATCCAATTTATAAACAAAAATTCTAATTGCATTGAATGATTCTTATTTAAAAAATAAATTTTTTGAATGTTAATAGTAAAAAACAGAGATATTTGTTCATTGTAATTTTAAATTGTCATTTTGAATATTTTATTATAAATATGAATAAGATTTATTCTATTTATAAATAAAAATTTTAAATATATTAAATGACATTCATTAAAATTTTTTTTATTAATTTTAATAGTATTGAATAATTTATAAATTAATAGTATAGAATCATTTAGAGTTCAAATTTTACACATTAAAAACTTTTATATTTATACATAATTATTATTTAAAATAAATAAAAAAACAAATCTTCATTTAGGATGACGCAACAACAAACATTAGTATACATAAAAAAAATTTTAAAAACATGCATATATATTATTTTGAAAAAAAAAGTACATACATATACATATACATATATATATATATATTCATGGTTGTATAAAAATCCATTAAATTTTTTTTAAGATAAATATTTATTAAGTACACTTTAATAATTTTCATATCAATATACCAACACGTGCAGATATATAAATATTTATTTGTATAGATGTGTCTGATATTTATACTATTACATAAAGTTTTAGAGTTAGGTATTACGAGGTAAGTGACAGTAACTTAATTGAAAATTTTTTACTTAAATCAAAATAAATTATATTATTTAACTATTAAATTGGGATATTTTTATCTTTTAGGTTTTTATATAATACATTTTTTTTAAAAAAAAATACCCACTCTTCTTTAAAGAACTTGCATTTTGCTAAAGAGTTAATTACTCTATATTTGAAAAGTATACATGAGTCGAACTTGTTTCATTGCACTGCTGTTCATAATCAATTTCGGGCATGTATCTTTTCTACTGAAAATTTTACTTACACAAATTCATTTCACAGATACAAATTTCTTAACGCTCTCCAGGGATCCTAGTCAGCACATAATTTGCAATGGAATACCTTTGCCTATGATCATCACTCTGTTTCTGAAATGACTGCTAATTCTTGGATTCATTCGTGTAGGGCCTGTAGAACCAAAAGGATTAGGAGGCATTGACAGATTATCTCCTTCTCCTTCCAACATTTGAACAACGTTTTTCATCGAAGGGCGACCCACCGGATACCACTGTATACACCAAAGTCCGACAATGGTGAGCCTCTTTGCAATATTAACATCTCCATCTTCCTCAATGCGGATTATCAACTCGTCTCCCTGATTCAAACGACTGTATGCCCATTCTGGGAAGTAAACTTGGCTAGCAGTCTCTACTGTAACATCAACATTCTTCCTCCCTCCGACCGTGTCAAGTATCAACATACCAAAACTATAAACATCTGACTTGTAAGACACATTGCCAAAATTCCTAGAATATACTTCAGGTGCAACGTAGCCCATGGTCCCCCTTGCTGCAGTCATGGAAGCAATACTTTGATCCTTGGAACACAGTTTGGCCAGACCAAAATCAGAAATTTTTGGATTGAATTTTTCATCCAGCAAAATATTATGAGGCTTGATGTCAAAGTGTAGAATCCGTTGGTCACACCCTTTGTGAAGATACTCGATTCCCTTCGCTATACCGATTGCAATATCTAGAAGCTTCTCCCAACCAAGGGAATGTTTCTTTCCATCACCTGAGAAAATAAATTTCTCCAATGGTTCATTTGGCAAGAACTCATATACCAGTGCTCGTCTAAATCCATCAGCAGAGAAGCCAACCAAACGAACCACATTGACATGGTGGATTCTCCCCATTGTCCCTACTTCATTGATAACTCTTCCCATCGCCTATGGAACTGTTGAGGATCTTCACAGCAACGTGGATCTCACTAGAAAGCGTTCCTTTAAACACTGTTCCATATGCACCCTCGCCCAACTTTTCCTTGAATTGATTAGTAATCCTCTTTATGTCAGCATAACTGTACCTTGATTGCTTGAGAGATCTGTAATCCTCCAAAAACTTGTCAATATTTACATCATTTTCCTTTCTCATCTTGTTAGATCTATATAGGTAGTAAACTGCAATGATTGCTATCACCACAAAGCAGGAACCTAGAACTACACCTGCATATAAATCATTCTAATCATGAATAGTCATCCGCCTAATGCTAACAGTGGTTATGACTGTTTCCCACTGAATGTAAGATAATGGGCATAAAAGTGAAGAGCTAAAAGCTGTCAATGAAATAGGCAAACTCACCTGCAGTCACTAGCTTTCTTATTGTACCTGCACACGGGGAGAGATGAAATCATTATTTATTTTTTATGTGAAATTCTGTTTGATCGAGTATAAAAACAACTTTCAAAAGCAAATTCCATGCTAATTAGCAGAAGCATACACCAGCTTTTGGTTCGTAGAAAACCATTTAAGATAAAGCCATTTATGTTTTATTTTGTCTGCTCTGTACTTTGAACTCCAGTTCTCTGCATCGCTTCCCTTGGCCATTAATTTGATGCTACTTTTTGAAGGAAATTAATTGTTTAATAACCAAGTCCCTGGTGCTAAAAGAATTTTGTTCCTTACAAAATCCAGCTCATGTAGCCACAATTAGATATTGGCAGCACCGCAAAAGGAAAAACAAAAATGAGAAACATAATGCAGAAGCTATAAGTTAATCAATTAGTTCTATGCTTTGACAGCACCTGATTCATGTATCTGCTTAACTAGGCTCATGTGTTAGTGTTCTTCGATTCTAAGATTCATTTAAAATTACCAGATAGAACCATATTAAGTTAAGAGTTATTTTTGCAGAAAATAACATTTGGCAGATGCAGCAATCAGTGGTATGAACTGGATTATACCAAACGACCATAGGTTGTCTCACAAGTTGTAAAAAGGTAGAATGTGGAAAAAAAAAGACATACCTTTTGCCCCTTTGGCTTTGATCGGTGCATCAAAACATTCAATTTGAGCTACAGTGCTATCATTCTTCAACCTACAATGCTTGCCATTTTGTTCACAAAATCCGCACATTGGCTCGGACCATTTCAAAGGAAGAATGTCAAGAAACATACCATCAGGATATGAGCCACTGTACAACTTCGTGCAAGAGGATAGGGGATATTGGGAGATGTCGTCGACTGAATTTAATGAGTAAACCTCATAACCGGGAACATCAACGCAAGGGATGTGACTGTATAATTGATGTCTTTCCATCGATGAACAGTTGAACAATGTATAATCAATCATGACCTGTACCTTGAACTGGAAGCGAGAAGAAGACAAATAAACTATAAGGCACCCTAAAAACAAATAACAAATTCTACTTTTCTCAGCATGCAGCTTGCAGGCTTTGTATACCTGTCTAGGCTGGATGGCCTTATCTCCGTTTGAAGGCAACATTAAAAATACGATTCCTCAAGTCTAGTGGGGATCTTCAGGTCCAAAAAGGCGCACATAACCCGGCTTTATTTGAATTCTCACCATTCCCCTTTTGAATTGGGAGAACATACTGTTTGCTCCTAGTACAACTTTCTGTTCTTTCATTTCTATCCGGTAATCTATTGCTTTTAATTACTTCAAGGTTTTTCAACTAAAACAACACTGTGGAGGCATGGAGTGAAAATAGTATTTTGATGTCACTTTGTGTTTAAATAATTTCATTCAGATATTATGCATAATCAGTAAACAGATTTTGATCTCTTGCATATAATTATCCTTTTTTCTCCAAAGACAATCAATTATTGGAGGGTTGAAATCTTTATCATGATTATTTACAGTTTGTAATAGCTGATCCTACCATAACCAAAGTACCAAAAGAAAATATAACAAAATCACAGAGGTATGGATTTGTTATGCAAATGAGATTTACCATTAGATCACATATTATCCCAAAGTATGTAACAATAAGTAGCAGCCTGCGAAATCTTTGACTTGATGGTATGGGTACCCATATGCTTTTAAGGGTGAACTGTCCAAAACGTGTGGTTTCAAATTGTTTAATCTTGGCTTCCTTGTTTGACCATTTTAGTTCAGTCAAGATTCTTGATGTTCAGAATAAGACAGGACTTAATTTTGCTATTAATTATTCCTTACAGGCGATGGAAGCATACAAATCACAAAATCAGCTTCCACGTCGAATCTGAAAGTGAAACTATTGCCTGAACATAGAGATGCCCTTGATATCCAGAAAACTTGTTTCAGTATTCAAATTTGCAATCTCTCTCAATCTCTGCCACCATGGCACCTTATTCAGAGGAAGGCTGCTCTTTGTTGCCTACATAAGCCTTTTTTTCCTTCCATTAGTTCACCTGACTGTCGCTGCTACTGATAACAACAAATGTGCCCCTTCTGCTTGTGGGAAGATTCACAACATCAGCTATCCCTTTCGATTGAGAGGAGATCCAAGCAATTGCGGGAACAAAAGTTATGAATTGGTCTGTGAGCAGAACAACCTGACAGCACTGTACCTGTATTCAGGAAAATACTATGTGCAGGCAATCAATTACAATAACTACACCATTCGATTGGTGGATGCTGGTATTCAGAAGGAGAATTGCTCTCCCCTTTCTCGATATTCTTTAACCGTTTCCAACTTCAGCGACAAAGATGCATTTATATGGTATAAGTACAAGTGGGGTAAATCAGATTATTTACCTAAGCTAACAGAAAGCATGGTTTTCCTGAATTGCGCAAATCCAGTGAATTCTAGTAGTTTTTATGTGGACGCTGCTCCTTGCATTAATGGTGGCAACCATTCTAATTCTTCTTTCTCTCGTTCGAGGAGGTATTACTATGTTGTTTTTGGACCCACGGCTGCATTGGAGGTGGAGGACTTGTGCAGGGTAGAGGTGATGGCCTTGACATCTTTACCTGTAAAAAAGGGGATGAATATTTCCTACATGGAAATCTACAGCAGGCTAGTTTACGGGTTTGAGCTTTCCTTCTTTCAATATAGGTGCGGACACTGCAGGTCTTGGGAACCTTGTCGCGTTAACAGCACAGACCATCTTCAGTGCTTGCCATTTGCGACTACCGTAAAAGAAGGTGAAAGCTTTACCAATTTTTCCCATGTACTAAAGCATTGGTTTTATCAATCAACGCAGTCTACCCAAGTTTTAACTTTTCTAGTTTCTTCCAAGGGCAATTTCAAAGTTTTTTCGAAGTCTTTTCCACTTCGTTTGTGCAACATATTTTTTGTTACTTCACAAGGGAAATTTTGACAGGTTAATCTTTACTTTGAAGAAATTTTATTCTGTTTTCGATTTCACAATATTGCAGCCTTACTTACAACATATTAATTTGTAAGTCTTCTTTTTCCTTTATCCTTCTGGTGTAAGAGTACTCAGATGCTGCAATTAACCGCTACCCTATAACCAATTACTGACATATCAGGCTTGATCCTAATTAATAAGACTCAGAAAACAGGCCTTCTAGTATGCAGAAACATGCTTTTACAAAGCAAATAACAAACAACTCAAGATCCTAAAAATCAAGGAATCAGAGCTAAGTGTCAGATTATTGTTCTGATTTTTAACATCATGAGTTATCTGAACTGATTGTTTAGAGCTGTCATCCTTGAGTTTGTGTCTTTATGTCTGATTGTCAAGGTTTGTACTGCCAGTTTTCATTTTGTACATGATGTCAAGGTGTCTTATGTTCTGTACAAACGGACAAACTCTGATCCTTCTTTGTCCTTTTGTTCTTCTTGGATTTTTCCAGGTTCTCCCTTTTGGGATGATTAATTGAATATTTTCTCTGATTGAGCAAAAAAAAAAAATGGAATCAGAGCTAAGTTTTCTGTTTATAGTGTTATAATGCTATTTGAGGAAAAGCTTCAACTGTTGACATTGTTTCTATTCCTCGCCAAGGAAAATTAACAAAGATTTATAAATCTAGTTTGAAATTTTGCTAACACTTTCATCTACACTTATTGCAAGAATTTCTTTCAAAGAAGCCCAAACTTATCTGTCATGCTGGCTATCAGGCAGCAGCATCCGAGAGAGGACCATCCTAAAATTGACTTCATGTTTTTTAGTATTTTCAAGTTTGAACTAACGATGAATGGAAAGATTCTGTGCTGATGTTATTCCTTCCTCGTAATGAATGCAGGCTTCTTCCACAAGATGTTTTACACAGTTATATGTAAGGGACCTCTCTCTATCTTTCATTTAAGGTCGTTTCTAGAGTTAGTAAGAAATTATAAGAAACAAAAAGTGGCAAACAACAGCTGCTGATATGTATGGAAGGAAGCAGAGCGCCTAGTCTAGGATTTTAGAAGCAGTTGTGCGAGGATATGGCTGCATCATGCCCTCTTGATTAGTGAACAGCTACTAAAGATTGGTCTGATAACATTATGAAATTGAAACCGAAATATGCTCTTCATTCAGCCCAAAATTGGAAGTAACCATCTTTGCAGCATCACTAATTGTCAATTCATTACTTCTTGGAACTAGAATACATATCCTAAGGGGCATTGGTGATTGTTGTCCGCTTATAACTGCAGAAATCACTAAAAGTGAATGGACTTGCAATATATCCACCAACTTCAGAAATTAGAGTTTGTTTAATTGTAAGATTGTTATTGGCCTTCCATTTCGCTAAATCACCTATATGATTAACTTCTCTTTTCTTGCAGCGTATTGGGTGTTGATGGTGCTTATCATCGGTAAGATACATACCAAGAATAAATCATATTCTAAATATGCAAAATGCTCATAGCTCTGCAGCAAAAAGCGTTCTCTCATGATGTTCTCTGTGGTTTTGCCCTACAGGAGCTATTATCACATTGAAATGTTGTTGTGGGGCTCCGTGTGTGACTGTATTATTAATCTACAAATGGCGAAAAAGGCATATGTCAATGTATGACAGGATTGAAAATTTCCTGCAAAGTCAGAACAACTTCATGCCAATAAGATATTCATACTCACAGATAAAAAAGATGACTGAGGTATTCAAGGACAAATTGGGTGAAGGAGGTTATGGCTCTGTATTCAAAGGAAAGCTTCGCAGTGGTCATCTTGTTGCAGTAAAAATGTTGGGCAAGTCCAAAGCTAATGGTCAAGAATTTATTAATGAAGTTGCCACAATTGGGAGAATTCATCATGTCAATGTGGTACAACTGATTGGTAACAAAGTGTGCTCTTGTTTATGAGTTCATGCCTAATGGCTCCCTTGACAAATACACTTTTGGTCGAGAAGGAAACACAACCATAAGTTGGGAGAAAAATATATGAGATTTCTCTAGGAGTGGCTAACGGTATTGAATACTTACATCGAGGTTGTGACATGCAAATCTTACACTTTGATATTAAGCCTCACAACATTCTTCTTGATGAAAATTTCACTGCTAAGGTTTCTGACTTTGGACTTGCAAAATTGTATCCAACAAATGATACCACAGTGACTCTTACTGCAGCAAGAGGCACAATCGGATACATAGCACCAGAATTGTTCTACAAAAATATTGGAGGTGTCTCATATAAAGCTGACGTCTATAGTTTCGGAATGTTGTTGATGGAAATGGCAGGCAAAAGGAGGAATTCAACTCCGGTGACAGCGCAGTCAAGTGAAGCTTACTTTCCTTGCAATGTTTATGACCAAATTGTAGGAGGAAGAGATTTTGAAGAAATCCAAGGAGCGTCGGAGGAGGAAAAGAAAATAGTCAAGAAGATGATCATGGTAGCACTGTGGTGTATACAAATGAACCCTAGTGATCGACCTTCAATGGCCAAAGTCGTGCAGATGCTCGAAGGAGAAGTTGAAAGTCTGCAAGTGCCTCCCAAGCCTGTTTTATATCCACAACAAACTTTGGTGAGCAGTGGAAGCCACTCAACTCAACAAGAGTCATCTTCTGCATCAACTGATTATACAGAATCCATAAGCTTAATTACCAGTGGAAGGTGACAGAAGGAATTTTCGATGAAAGCCACTGCTCCAAATTTATCACAATTGTACCTAAGAGCTATTTGTTATGTCTAAAGGGGAAAGGGAAAATCCATCTTCCCCTGCTTGCAAAGGCAGGCAATTGCAGTGCATTATTTGATTAATTAATTGATGCAGGTTCTTTTTACAACTTCAAAGAGTTGAGGCCCTTAGTTTGTATTGGCCGAAAGAGACAAGGTAAGCCCACATTAACTGGGGATATAGGCCCAAAAAAGAACCAGCACTCTGCACTTAAGCGCTTTTAACAGAGCCAGCCAGTGGAAACTAGCCGTTTGAGAAAACGATGATGATGATGAGCCTTTCTCTTCCCCCTGCCGCCAAACCCCCGCCACATTCTCTTAAACCCTCAACGCGCCCGTGCCAAACACTCGCACCACCGTCCATTATTCGCCCCGTCAACTTCGAAACCCTCAGGGACCGCCTGATCAATCACCTCGATGAGGGCCACCTCCACAAAGCCATATCCACCCTCGATGTCATGGCCAGGCAAAACACCCACCCAGACCTCATCACCTACTCCCTGCTCCTCAAGGCCTGCATCAGGTCGCGTGACTTTCAGCTCGGTAAAACCGTTCACACCAACTTGACTCAGTCTAAACTCGAGCTCGACTCGGTCCTTTTTAACTCACTCATTAGTTTGTATTCAAAATCCGGCGATTGGGCCAGAGCCCATAAAATATTCCAAAGTATGGAAGATAAACGAGATTTAGTTTCATGGAGTGCAATGATTTCTTGTTTTGCTAATAATAAAATGGAATTTGAAGCAATTTTGACATTTCTCGATATGCTAGAAAATGGATTTTATCCAAATGAGTATTGCTTTACAGCGGTTGTTCGGGCTTGTTCAAAAGCTGAGTTTTTCTCAATGGGGGAGATAATTTTAGGGTTTTTAGTGAAAAGTGGGTATCTTGAGTCTGATACAAATGTTGGGTGTGCCTTAATTGACATGTTTGTGAAGGGAAATAGTGATTTGGAGTCAGCTTTTAAGGTGTTCGATAAAATGCCTGAGAAAAATGTGGTTGCTTGGACTTTGATGATAACTAGATGTACACAATTAGGCTACCCAAGGGATGCTATTGATTTGTTCTTGGATATGGTTCTAGGTGGCTACGTGCCTGATCGATTTACACTAAGTGGTATCATTTCAGCTTGCACTGAATTGGAATCAGAATCATTGTCACTTGGCAAGCAATTGCATTCTTGGGTTATTAGGTCAGGATTCGCTTTGGATGTTTGCGTTGGATGTAGTTTAGTGGACATGTATGCTAAGTGCACAGTAGATGGGTCTTTGGATGATTCTAGAAAGGTGTTTGGTAAAATGGAAGAACATAATGTTATGTCTTGGACTGCGATTATTACGGGGTATGTGCAATGTGGAGGTCGCGATAAGGAAGCTCTTGAGCTTTTTTCCAAAATGATGGGAGGTCCTGTTCAGCCAAATCATTTCACATTTTCTAGTGTTCTTAAGGCATGTGGAAATCTCTCTGATTCATGCACAGGTGAACAGTTTTATGCCCATGCAGTAAAACATGGTTTTGCATCAGATGATTGCGTGGGGAACTCTCTTATAAGCATGTATGCTAGGTCTGGCAGGATAGACAATGCTCAGAAAGCTTTTGAATCTCTATTTGAGAAGAATTTAGTTTCCTACAACACTATTGTCGATGCTTATGCTAAGAACTTGGATTCTGAAGGAGCTTTTGAACTTTTTCATGAACTCACAGATAGTGAAATTGAGCTTAATGCGTTCACATTTGCTAGTCTATTGAGTGGAGCTTCAAGTATTGGTGCAATTGGAAAGGGGGAGCAAATCCATGCTCGGGTGCTTAAATCAGGGTATCAGTCCAATCAATGCATTTGTAATGCATTGATATCCATGTATGCTAGGTGTGGACACATAGAAGCTGCTTTTCTAGTTTTTAACAAGATGGGTGATCGAAATGTTATATCTTGGACATCCATGATCACAGGTTTTGCAAAACATGGATTAGCTACGAGAGCTTTGGAAATATACCATGAAATGCTTGAGGCAGGGATCAGGCCCAACGAGATCACATATACTGCTGTTTTATCAGCCTGTAGTCATGCAGGTTTGATTTCAGAGGGATGGGAAATTTTCAATTCAATGCCCATAGAACACGGGCTTGCCCCAAGAATGGAACACTATGCATGTATGGTTGATTTATTGGGCCGATCAGGATCTCTTAGGGAAGCCATTGAGTTCATAAACACAATGCCCTGCACACCAGATGCCTTGGTCTGGCGTACGTTTCTTGGGGCTTGCCGAGTCCACCATGACAAAGAGCTCGGGGAATATGCTGCAAAGATGATACTTCGGCAAGATCCTCATGATGCTGCAGCGTATATCTTACTATCAAATTTGTATGCCTCTGCAGGTCAATGGGAAGATGTGGCACAGATTAGGAAGGATATGAAAGAAAGAAATCTGATCAAAGAAGCTGGTTGTAGTTGGATAGAGGTGGACAATAAGATGCACAGGTTCCATGTGGCTGATACTTCACACCCACAAGTGAAGGAGATTTATGAGAAACTGGACGAAATGGCTTTTAAAATAAAGGGATTAGGTTATGTCCCTGATACAGATTTTGTACTTCATGAACTTGAGGAGGAACAGAAGGAGCAATATGTTTTCCAACACAGCGAGAAAATTGCGGTTGCATTCGGACTTATAAGCACATCAAGATCAAAACCAATTCGAGTTTTTAAGAATCTCCGTGTTTGTGGAGACTGTCATACTGCAATCAAGTACATTTCCAAGGGCACAGGGAGAGAAATAGTATTGAGGGATTCAAATCGGTTTCATCATATCAAGAATGGAACCTGCTCTTGCAATGAATTTTGGTGACAGAACACAATTTAAATTGGTTTCATCATCTTAAGGGATCTAGTTGACAACTGCATTCTTGGTAAAAAGCGACTGAGAGCTCTCAATAAGTTGTTTGGTCTCTGATCTTTAATTTGTCAGATGCCACAACTTTCATTGTCACGGTGTTGCAGATTATCATTACTGTCAGAACAAATTTGATCCTTGTTTGGCAAGTTTATCTGTAATCTTCATTCTTTTCCGCCATTGAAGACGAGGCATGTATCTCTTGTTCTAATAATTGTTACCTGTATAGTTCTTATTCCCTTATTTTTTTTATACAATTGTACATATCTGCTTACTTTAGATCTAAAATGCTTGCAATTTATGTAATCTGTTTTCTTCTTGTTTTGATATGAATAGATGTTTATATAACAATGATGTGTCATCGTTAGATCCTCCCATTAGAGCCCCTGAACAATTTTGGCGGCTAAATTGTTAAGATCTTGTATTATTAGAACCCCATTTCCATTTCTATATATATAATCATATACTACTACCATATGTTTATATATAGAATCTAAAGTGTTTGTGCTCTTGGTGTAAAATGTAAATGAGTGTCCTTCCCAAACTGCAAAGCAAATCCAACGCATGTATCTTTGTAGGATTGGAGAATTTCCTGCAGTTCGAAGACATAGTAACTGATTTTATTACTCTTTATATTTATTTCAGTACTTCCCACTCTGTCAAAAAAAAAAAAAAAACCGGTGATGTGTCATAGTTTCCTTTGATGATGTTTGATGCAGAAGCATGTATTTTGCATTTTAATTTCAAGCTGTAGGTTGTAAATTACTCGGTATTCCCGTCAGCTTGTGCCCCTATATCTTGACATGACTTGAGCACAGGAAAGTTTCTTAACAGAAGGTAGTAATGAGGAAACATTGAATCAACCCCTTAGCTAGCAAATCAGGTTCTAACTTCAACTTGTTTCAGTTTCCTGTATGGCCTTTCTTTCCCCTCCTTTAACAGCTTTGCTTCTTTAAACCAATCATAGCCTTTCATCTTCAGTTCATGTGTATCTTTTGCAGGGTCTGTTTCGTAATCAAAAAATAACTTGTTGGAAGAAAATTTTTCTTTTGTGTGTAAATTGTTTTACAAGAAAATTTAATATTTTTTGTTATTTAAATAAATTGTTGAAAATATTTTTTGCTTTTTTTGTATTATTTTATGAAAAATATTTTTCATCATAGTGGTTGTATAATTTAAATATTAATATTTTGTTTTTCAAATATTTTAAATTAAATATTAATAATCATCAAATTTATACTCATAAACTTACTATAAAAGTGTTTTTATTGTTTGTTAGAAAATGTCTTACACTCTTCAAAGGTGTAAATCATATTTCGTAATTAATTTTGTTGACTTGTAAAATATTTTATATTTAAAATTAATTTTTTATTTTTTAAATAAGTATAAATTATATAATAATTTTTTAAAAAATATTTTAGGACAAAACAAGCGGATTCAGAATTTCCTTGTACAATATGATTAGGCTTGATTATCCAATGTGATTTGAGTCCTCAGCTTGCGTTCACATCAATAACTTCAGAAAGATGAACATGAAACAGTCAACTTTCTGCCACTGTGTGAATGTTAACATGCATTAGCGTGGACAAATACAACATGTCCAAGAATTCGGAAAGGTCGAAACACCAATTTAACAGGCAATGGAAACCTACAATTTTGCCTTGGTAGAAAAGCAATTTTATTGCTCATTGTTAGGCAAGTATAGTAGCAAGAAAGAGACCCAGAGGACTAGGACAGTTAAAGCCCACCCACCCGTTCTCTCATTTAAACCACGTGGTTGGAAAACATGCTTTCTTGCCCGGGCAGAAGTTTGTGCACCTACTAAAGACCTTTTGATTAACGAGATTATTAACTAACTAGAAATCCGAGTCTCCTGACAAGGCAACATACGTTGTCAGGTGGACCAATCAGATTTCAGGGACACGTCTGTCAGCTTCGGACATTGGTAATCCAATCAGACCTCCCTGATATTTTTCACTTTTTTCACGTTAAGATAATACTACTTTACTACCACATTTTCATGGGACGGAGCTTAAGATCTGGACACAAGATATCGGCAAAACCTGGCTCAATGTACGAGGTCCAAATCCCGCACGAGACCGAGCAGGATCTAACACGTGTCCGATCCATCGGTCGGGTCAACATTCCTTGTCAGATAAAAACACATTAATAAATACCTTTCCAAAAAAGCATAACCAGCCCCTCTTCCCTCTGAAAACACGAGAGGCCACGTAATACGACTTCTAGAGATCAGTGGTGGGGCCCTTCCCTCACCCAACCAAATCACTAGGCCCAAGATCCAAGCTCCACCTGTTTCGAACCAAATCACTGCCGTCCACGTCTCTGTTTGAAAAATCCCAGTCAGTGGTACATGAAAGCCCATGTGGCTACCGCCAATTGCATCGCAGAAAATCAACGGCTCGAATTCAATGCTTTCCTCTCTATCTATTTATATCAACTTTAATCTGTTTCTGCCAGTTGTCGGTTGGCCTTTCATGCAGAAAAAAATGGAGGAGAAGATACTGAGGCTTTACTCTCCATCAACCAAAGCTCCCCGGAGAATGACATCTGATTCCAGTGAACTCAGCAGGCCTACAGTCGTCAGAACCAAGAATGCTCGCCGGAGAAGATTGGAAATTAGAAGATTGAAGTACAAGTGTCAGACAATGATGAATATAACCATCACAGAAAACAGCAGCAACGGCGATAAAGACAAGAATCTTCTTCATGGATCAAAACCAAGCAATGGTTTAACGGATATATCGCTTTCATTGTCTTCTTCTTCGTCAAAGCAAACATCATTAGAGGAGAAGGACATCGTTTTAGCTGGCTTTGGAGAGAAAACTTGCAAGAAAAACAATGATGTTGAAAGTTTGACGTGCATGTCTCACGGGTTACTATCAGTTATCGGTAGGAGAAGAGAGATGGAAGATGCAGTGAAAGTGGAGTTAGGATTTATGGTCAAAGGAGGGGAAAATTTTAATTTTTATGGAGTCTATGACGGGCACGGCGGGTCCAGAGTGGCGGAGGAGTGTAGAGAAAGGTTGCATAACGTGCTGGTGGAGGAAATAGTAGAGGATAATGAGGAAGGAGATGGGATTGATTGGGGAAGAACGATGGAGAGGTGTTTTGAGAAGATGGATGAAGAGGTGAATAGAGGGAGGGTGGAGGAGGAGATGGTGGGGTCGACGGCTGTTGTGGCGGTGGTTGGTAACGGTAAGGTGATAGTGGCAAATTGTGGGGACTCTAGAGCTGTTCTATCGAGGGGTGGTGTTGCTGTGGCCTTGTCTTTTGATCATAAGGTAATATTCATATGTTTATATGCCTCTTTTTTCAAATATCTTTATATTCTTTTTAGTTTTATCATGTTAAAAGGTTTAATTTTAAAGTATGTTTTCTGCTGATAAAATTGAAAGGAATACTGGTAGCTATGGTGGATTTTTGTTTAGTTTAAGACAAATTAAGAATCTCTTCAAGCAGGATGATCTTGTTTATGTGCTGATGATAAACAAAGAGTAGATTGGGGTGGTAGTTCAGAATATACCCTGCAGACATATATGGTATAATGAGAATCTGTACCGAAAAGATGTCTGTATAACTTATTAATTGGGGCAATTGAGCACAGATTTACAAAGAATGACCTGTCCAGATATATATGAGGTGAGAAATTATATGTAAATACATGGGAACGCGACTAAATCTGAAGGCTCAAATGATCAAATGAGAGATAAATGATTTAAGTAAAAAGTGTGGGCAGAAGACCCTTGCTTCCGGTCTGGAAATTGGATTTTACACAAGGGGAGGAGATTGTCCTCGATTTGTACATGCTGATATTGATTAAAAATCTGCAATGAAAAATTTTGTTCTGGTTTTCTCCTTTAATTAGAAATATTGGGTTTACCACATAGCCGGACTGGACTTTTCTTATTGATCTTTTGAACAAATAATGTCTACTATTAGCAAAAGGTAATCCTCAATTTAAGGGTCGTCAAATTAAACAGCATAACTATGTTAAATCAAGAATTATTGAGATCAAAGTACATAATAAAAGGAGTTAAATGACAGACTAATTAGTATGTTGTACCTAACAATTTCAATTTTGGATCTATCATTCTCTAAACTACCATTCAGTCGCAAATTTTGTTTGGAACTATTAAGAAATCTACCATGTGATTAGTAGGATTTCTCTGTTCTTTTACCAAATGATTAGTAGGACCTTCTTTACGGTCCTTTCTTTGTTCCCCTTAGGCTTTTCTGACCTTTCTCCTTTACATTTCCTTTACCATTGTTATCTTTTTCCGTTTATGATGATTGTATATTTGTCGGTAGAAGAAAAAACAAACTAGTAATGGAAGCAAGACAAATATATATAAATAAATATATATATATATATAAATATATATACTCAAGTTACTTCAGACTCCCTGGCATTTTATCCCTCGGTCGACTGTTTGAAATATGGTATGTCATCAATTTGATTGTTTAGACCAGAAAGAGAAAAGAGCAGCTTCTTGAAAATTTAGCAGCAAGAAATCAATATATTGACACGTTCTTTGTGCAAAGCCTGACAGACCTGATGAGTTGGAGAGAGTTGAAGCCGGTGGTGGAAGGGTCATAAACTGGAATGGATATCGTGTGCTAGGAGTACTTGCCACTTCAAGATCCATAGGTAAGTAGAAAAGCTTCTGCTGTAGCTTAACAATTACAGCATTTATCAATTTTATAGTGCTAGAGATCATGGCCGAACAGCTAGCTTGAAAGGATTCGGTTGCCAGCCATTTTTCTCACGGGATAGTACAATTTGAATGCAGGTGATCAGTACCTTAAACCATTTGTTATATGCAAGCCAGAAGTAACAGTAAGAGAGCTAACCAATCGCGATGAGTTCCTCATACTAGCTAGTGATGGCCTGTGGGATGTGATATCTAATGAAGTCGCGTGCCGAGTAGTGAGGAGATGTCTGAACGGCCAAATAAGGAGGAAATCCCTTGAGAATATTGTCAACGAAAACCGTGCCGCCGAAGCAGCAGCAGTGTTGGTTGAGCTTGCAATAGCTCGGGGTAGCAAAGACAACATTAGTGTGATAGTGGTTGAGCTAAGAAAACCTACTACTTTCCTCCCTTAAGATCACTAGCCGTCTGTCTGAAGTCACTCTCAAACACAGCGGATGGAGAAGTCAATCTGGGATTGCTAACCAAGGATTTCGTTTGAGATGATCCATCCAATTAAACTAGAAGGAAATTAAGTGGTTGCTTGGGGGCTTAGAGTTGATTGGGTATCATAATAACATTTGATTCATTTGGCTTGGGGCTTTTACATGAGCACCATTCCCCTGAGTATATCTGTTGCTATAGATAATTTCGGCATTTAAATATAAAAGCTCTAATGGAACAAAAAACACAAATAAAAAACTTATTAAGTATTGCCTTTTTATCAAGATTAACCTTTTCCCAAAAATGGTTCTCTTCCTAGTTATAAATTTCAATTTTAACATTTAAATCATAATTTTTCAGAATCTCTAGTCGGCCTCTTCCTAAATATTTTGGAGAAGATAATTATAATTATTTCGTATTTCTTTGTTCATGGCCTCCTCCTCAATCTTATCCACCCCAGGCATCATCGAAATTCGGTGAGTTGCAGGCTCAAGCCCACGAGTAGCGGAGGGTGCGAGGCTGCGGAGCCGGACCGGTTGTGTGATGAAGGTTGAAGCCTGATGAGAAGCTTAATCAGGTCGTATATTAGTTTTAAATTTGAACAAGCATATTATCTCGCGCGTTGCTACGGAGATTTAATGATAAAGAATTTTTTTTATGAAATTATTATAAAATTAAATTTTCATCAATTTTTTTTATGAAATTAGTTTTGACAGTTACAAAATATATTGATAATTGCAATTTTCAATTTTCAACTTTTTAATTAGTTAACAAATTATACATCATTAAGGTATTATTTCAACTATTCATAAATAATTAACAATTTAAAAAATAAATGTTCATTGTAAATTTACATATTGAAAATTAGTATAGTCTTATATTTATCTTGACCTTAATGCTAAGATAATGATGTGACTTATTTAATTAGAGTTATAATACAACAATATTACTTAGTTATATTATAATATTTTACTAGCGTTACTTTATAATATCATTTTTTTTTATAATTGAGGAAGAGAGGTTTCAAATCTTGCTCTTTAGGTAGGGATAATGCACCAATCAATGAGCCAGATACTTAAGTGTGTTATCCTATAATATTGTTTGTTAGTTAGGATTAAATTATAAATAAAATTAAAATTAGTCATACATATATATATGTATCATAGATAATTAAAATTTAGCTTTACAATTTTATATTATACAAGTTTTTTTCAATTTTATAACTGTTTAACTCATCAAATATATAAATCAATTCTCGCAATTCTTGATTTATACTTTTAATTTTTAAATCAACATATTCGAATTCTTTTAGAAGATGAATAATATTTACCGTCCACGTATCGTGTCGAGATGAAAAGGAATAAAATGACCTTTTTCAGAAAAGCAAACATCTTTGATGAGAAGCATAGACATGGTAACATGTACACCACTTAAATCCGTCCGAAATCAAACGTTTGAAGCTAGGAGAGAATCGATTAGTTTTTTAATTGTATAAAAAATATAGACCTCTTTTGTTTCGTGACTATAAATAGCTTATCATGATAAGATTCTTTTAAAAAAACTAGATATGACCACGAGGGTTTCATCTAATCTGTAAAGCCATGGACAACTTGATTCCCCATTCCATCTTTTTATAATATACTTAATTTTGTAAACTCTATTTTTTAAGTGAAAAATACATATATTAATCATTAAATTAAATATTTAAATGCATAAATTCCTAACTTATTTGATAAAAAAATTAATGATTAGTTAATTAATAAAGTAATCTTGTTCGAGCAGCTTGCCTTACCAACCATAGTAGTTTCTAATTTGATACGAGGATATATTATAATAGATGATGATGTAGTGTACTTATGTAACATGATGACTTAATTATGTAATATTTTTATTTTTTAAAACATTAATTATGTAAGATTTTTACAATTCATATCAACATCATATTAATCTTAAATCAACACTATATATGTATAAAATAATTAATGATATTTTATTTAATATAATTAATTGATAACCATGAAAACTTATTTGATCTAAAAAATATAAAAAAAATTACTTAATTTTTTAAAATAATTTAAAAAATATTTAAAACATTATGCCTTCTCTCTATAACTAGATATATAATTTTGTGGGAATAGATGATGACAGTTTATATTGATTTAAATTTTTTATTTATGTTTTCGTTTTTCTATATGAAAATTTCAAATTCATAATTCATAAATTTTGGCAACTGCTTAGCTTTTGTAATAGATTAATAATTTAAGAACTTACACATATGAATTTTATGATGTATTTTTATTATTTTAGTGACGCCATAAACGTTCGTTGTTCCACCCTTTACATGATCAGTTGGGGATGGCGCACTTTGCCACGTTCGCTTTATAATTCCCAGATACCGATGCATTAGCACCCCTGCTTTAGCACTTTTTGCGTGGCCAATAGAAAATTAATGGACCCCTTCCTTCAGATTTTGTCCAACAAAGTAAAAAATCATGTGCCAAAGTTATACATATTCCTGTTAATGAACAGGTACATTAGTTTTTTAGGATCAACACCCAAATTATCATGACATTGACATTTACATTTCAATCATAATTAAAAGGATCGAATAGCATGTGAACTATGTTATAATAATTTATCTAAAATTATTAACGTGTGATGCACATTATTATTTTTATATGCAAATTTAACAATCATTCACATGTGAAATCACATATAAAAATATGTTCCGTCTATAGAATAAAAATAATTAAAACATGTGTGATTATCTTCTTTATTAATAACAAAAAGCAAAATCAATGGCAAGAGATATATACCATTATTGAAAAGATCATCATAGTGTGACATTCCCGCTAATCAAAATCATAACAATATGATTTACTTTCCCAATACCAAAGTCAACCAAAAAATTATAAAAGAAAAACCACTAATAAAATTTTATCATTTCAAATAGATAATCATGACATGTGCTTTTTATCCGAGGAAAAAGAAAAGAACAGCAATGATTCTTATAGAGCCATTCCCCCTTTATTCCTAAGGAATTTTAATTTCTTTATTTGGTTGAGAAATAGTTCAAGGAATAGCTATTCTATAAGAATGACTATTTTTCAAAATCCTCCAAAACTAAGGAACAGCTAATACCATTCTTCCCATGATATTAGTTATTTCATAGTTTGAGGAATAAACTCAAAAAATCATAAAAATCAAAATATCCTTAACAAGTTTAAAAAATTACAACTCTATTTATATAAAATATTATTTTTTTTCTCTTTCCTCTTCCTCTCCTTGGATTCCAACTTTTAATAATATATTAATATTTTAACACATTAATATTAAACTATAAATAAAATATTAATAGTTTAAAATCATAAAAATTAAATTATAAATAAAATATTAATATTTAAATTATAAATTATTCCTATTTAAAAAATAAATTAAAAATAAATAAGCATAAAATCATTTAAATTATATATAAAATATTAATAATTAAATAATCAATTATTAATATTTTAAATAAATGACCAATTATTAATATTTAAAATAAAATAAGAATAAATAAAATAAAATTTAATCATAATAATATTTAAATTAAATTAAATATTAATATTTTAAAATATTAATGATTAAATTATTAATATTTTAAAATAAAACAAAATAAAATAATTTATCATAACAATATTTAAATTAAATAAAATATTAATATATTAATGACTAAATTATAAATAAATATTAATATTTAAATGGTCAATTATTAATATTTTAAAATAAAACAAAATAATTAATCATAATAATATATAAATTAAAAAATATTAATGTTTTAAAATATTAATGATTAAATTATAAATAAAATATTAATATTTAAATTATCAATTATTAATATTTGAAATAAAATAAAACAAAATAATTGATCATAATAATGTTTAAATTAAATAAAATATTAATATTTTAAAATATTAATGATTAAATTATAAATGAAATATTTAATTTAAATGATAATTATTAATATATTTTAATTAAATTATAGATATTAATATTTAAAAAATTTAATAAAATAAATATTATATAAATAATAAAAAGTGTTTTTATCTTTTATTTATATTTTTTTTCTTATTTTAAAATTATTATTACCAACCAAACACTGTAATAAATTTAATAACTATTTCTATCCTATTCTATTCGTCGTATCAAATAAAATAATAACTATTCTATTATATTCTCATTTCATTTTCATATATAAACTATTTCACTCCATTCCTGTCATTTCCATCAAACAAACCTAACCTTAGAGTAGAAGAAACCGCCTAATAAAATTTCTTAGCAATTGGATTTTGGGCAAAAAAGTCAACTCGGCACTATATTCTGCATGACCAAAGTATTGTATTCTTATATAGGCCTTCTGGTAAAGAAAACGAATGCATCTAAATTTTTTTTTTGGTATGTGATTCAGAGGTAGAGGGAGAGGGGGAACAATTTTATACTTTTTATAATTTAATTTTATATTTTTGAAATTTTATAATTTGTCTTTACAAAATTATAAAGTTTTTCTAACATATTTTTTTGAAATTTATAATTTTTTCTTAACAATAATTTTTATGATGAGATATCTACAACAATTAATTTTAATAAGATTAAAATAAAACTATTACAATAGAATTATCTTAAATCCTACTTTTCAAAATTTCACAACCACCTCCTCTTATTTTCTTTTTTTATCAAATACTGTACAAATAAAAAATTTAATTTTTATATTTTTTTGCTTGCCAGCATTCTCTGTATAAAAAATATCTAGTCAGCTACTTAATTTTTCTATTATAATAATTGATGAGTTTGATTTATTTACTTATTTTATTTTTGATATTTTAATTTTTAATTTTTATTTATTATTTTGACTTAGGATTTATTGTCTTAACCATTTTTTGTTGAAAGTAACAAAACACGAATTTGATTAAGTGCTTGTTTGCTTGATTTTTTTCAATCTATCTATTCTTTTAAAAGTCAAACATAAATTTGAAAAACTCTTAAAAAAATAACTGTATTTTAAAAAATAAATTTTTTGAAAAAAAGCTTTAGGAAAAGCTCCTATCAAGAGTTTCTTCTTTTTTTAAAAAAAATACAAGAAAATTTTTATTTTTGTTTCAAAAATATCCTCATCTATTAAAAATAATTATAATATAATTTTCTAAAAAAAAAACCTTTACTATAATTTTAACTAAAATTATAGCTTATAAAAAAAAAACTTATAAAAAAAATTTACCAAACTTCTTCAGCTTAATTCTAAAAGCTG